AAAATCTCAGAGTGTTTTGACAGTAGATGGCAGCACAAACCCAGGCCAAGACAAGAAGGTCCCTTTAGGGCAGAGAACCCAAGGTCCAGCAGAAGCTTCTGTGTACCCTGCAAGGCTGGTGGTTGTGGCCACTTTTGGAGGAGATTTGAAGGGCTGCATGACAGGAGGGACTGGGTTGGGCCTCTGATAGACCCCAACCAGGTTTGGCCTTAGCAAAGCTTGTTAATTTGTTACAAACTTTGTTGGGTGCCTATTCCTCAGGCCCAAAACCTGGACTCTTTTGCGCAGAAAAAAAAAAAAAAAAAAGGTGGACGATGTCGATGATGTATTGGTGACAAGAGAGGAAGAGACAGGGTGTTCATGAGACAGACATGAAAAACTTAATGAAATGAAAAATAAGGAGCCCTTACCAAAGTTACCCTTGTGCATCATGCTCTGCTGATTTCACTGGTACAGTGTCCTGTGTTCTGTCTTACCTTAAGACCCCATCGCTTCCTCAGATGGCAGTGTGAAACCATTTCACAGATACAGTTTGAAAGGGTTTGAGAGCTGAAGAATGACTTCTTCAGAAAAGAAGTTTGAGAGCAGAAGCATTGAGCGTGGAGGTGAGCAAGAGAGAAACTTAGGGTAGACGTTCCTGTAGGAGTAGTCCAACGTGATAGTGTTAACATCTATGTAATGGTTATCACAGGTGCTTTGGATCTCAGTCCTTGGCACAGACATAGTGCTTATGACAGGAAAGTTTCTTTAAGTAATCTGGTTCAAAAGAAACTTGGAAGCTAAAATGAACAACCCTGGATGTTTTGCTTTTGTTCACTGCTGCATCAAAGCTTCAAAGAAGTTCAAATAGAGTAGTGAAGCAGGGTTTCGTTTTGCAGAATTGGTGTTGATATTTTCCCCACCGATTTGCTAAGCAAGTATAAAGCTCAGTGTACTTTAATTTCCAAGGTCATTCTAGTCTGGTTCTATTTTTATTACCTTTAAATGGCTGTGTAGTATGTACACGATAGATTTGTTCTTTCCAGGTGTTTCTTTATTAGATGACACTATTTCCTTGTGCTTCCTTAGCCTCTCACTTGAAATCTTTCTGAAATCTGAATGCAAAGCACCTGGGCCTAGTTATCATTGTTTTTGTGATAGTGTTAGTCTTTCTTATCAGGAAAGATTAGTTTGGAATTAAAGATACACTTCCCATTCCTTTTGGCAGAATCCATGTGTAGGCTTAGTACTTTCCTTTTCCCCCTTAACTGCTCACCTCTGCCGGAAGGAAAACCACTGGTGTTTTTTTTTTTTTTTTTTTTTGTATGGTTGATTGGTTGGGTGGTGTTTTTTTTTTGGTCAGGATTTCTGGTCCATTCTGGTCCACTGAAAACATTTCTTGTCTGATCTTTGTACCTTTATCTCTATCCTTAGGGCACTCCGTCATAGCTCTTTCTCTAGGATGACATTTCCTTTGGGATAAATTTCCAGATGAGTAGCTTTACTGTATAGCCTCTTGGTCCTTCTACTTCAGCTACACTTGAATCCTCTGGTGTTCAGAAAAATGTTCCTACTTCCTGGTGTGGCGTTGATTCATCCTTTAAACTTCAACATTTGTGAGGCAGAGTTAAAGCTGCTTATGGCCATAGAGAGTTTTCCCTGCATTGTTGGCAGTTGGCTTTAGAACATTTTTTCCTTGAGCTCTGCTAGCCAAAGCAGCTCAATGGCTATGCTCATCACTTCTGTTAATGCTGTATTTTGTTGATAAGGTTTACCTGCATGGAGTAGTTTACTCGTTAAAGAAGCAAGACTGCAATATCTGTAAATCTTCAGGTGACATTCTCGGGAACTCCAGAGCTTGCAGTATGGCACAAATACAACCACATGTGAAGCTCTGTAGCCTTTGTAGAAGGTCTCACCCTAATCTGCATAGTTTAGGCCCTAAAAACAGTGTTGTCCTTTTTATCACAGAGAGTACCATCCCTCTCCTCAGAGAAAACAGCTGCAGGATTGCTACAGAAATTCTAATGAATGTAGAGAGGTCTGCCATACACTTAGGTTTTATAAAGTAACTGTCTGTCGCTAACCATGTGTATGCCTCTCTCTAGTCAAACTGCCTCCAGGTATCAGTTCTTGGTGAAGAATCATGGAGCAAGAATGAACTATGTTACAGTAAATAGCTGGGTTCTTAGATTGAGGTTTACACCTTTGAACAGTTATTATCTTCTCCTTGCCCCCTTGGAGCTGCAAGGCTCACCAGGGCAATGGATTGATCCTATAGCACTGTGAATGAGATGGCTCTGCTGTGGACCTGAAAGTGGTTCAGAGGTGGAAAGCAAGGAGTATGGTTAAATTGCCAGCCGTCATCAAGAGGAAGCAGTAGAGACTAGAAGTATCTGCATTAGGACGTGAGTTACAAGTGTTCAAGGAGGTAAGCAACAAGAAGGCCAAATCTATACATGACATAAAGTTATTTAAATTTCTCATGAGATAAGAGAATGACAAGAGCTTTGGAGACATCTGAGAAAGTTCCTTGGTAACAGGAAAACCAATGAAATTCGACATCACTGTTTGCAACATCATATCTGGAAGGAATATGTAGACTGTGTAAAGACTTTCAGGCTTCATTTTGCTGTAACTGTACGAGGTCAGTGAAGAGCCCTAGACATCTTGACAGACACTTTATAGGGGACACAGTGAACAGCTTGGTAAGAACTCACTGCTGTTCAGTGGGGAAATGCAATCAGAAGAGCAAATAAGGCATCAGGAGTTGTGAAGTGCAAAGCAGAAGCGGAGAATGCAGGAAATGATATTATGCCGTTGTGTAAATCAGCAGTGTCCCCCATCAGGCTGCTGTAGGCTATTTTAGAGCAGAGAATTAAAGGAGAGTTGCCAAGACATAGAAATGGGTCTGAATAAACTATTAGGCAGGAAGTCTCCCAGATCTGGGATTTTTACCTGAAAAGCAATGAGCTGAGAGGGGATAGGCAGTAAGAAAGAGGGAGGTGTTGTAAAATAATGACCAGCCATAGGAAGGTAGACTGGGAACCTCTTGTAGATGGTGTGACAGGAGAAATCAGCCGATGAAAGTGAAAAAGAATTCTGAAGAAGCTGAAGAGGAACATTTTCACATGATGTGCGAGCAGACTCAGAACTTATGGCCAGGGGAACAACGATCAGGATTAAAAGAGAGATCAGGAACACATTCGAGTAATGTGAACATCCAGGCTTATAATAGGTAATGCCAAAAGTATTCGTTACAGAAAGGGAGAGCATCCCATGAGAAGAAAGAGTAATTGCTGTCAGACTCTGAGAATATCTAACCCCAATGGGAAATGCCTCCTCTCTATCTCTGATGCATTCTGGTCAGGACACTAGCAGAGAGAAACAGCTGGACTAGATTGATCAAGTCCAGCCTGAAAAAAAAAAAAAAAAAAAAGTGGCAACCTACATTATTTTATAGGAAGATGCGTAGTACCAGGCTGGACCCCTTTTCCTCTCTGGTCTCTGTCCTCCTGCCAATCCCCCCTAAACTTTCAGTGTCTATTTGAAACCGCATTGATGATTGAAACAAACTGTTCAGTCTTCTGATACATTTCTACAGAACAAAGTGAACTTGGTATTGCTTTAAGTAAAATGTATGGCCGGCTGAATAGCTAAACATCTGTGTTGTACAGAGAGGTTAGTTGGGACTTCTCGGGTGCTTCTCCAGTACCTGCAGTGAGGTGAGGGCTGTACAGCAAGAAGACCTGTTTGCTTTCCTGCCGAAATAGTGAAAAGATGACTTGGTAGTGAAGCCTTACACTCAAGTCAATGGAAGTTCCCTTCCTAAATATTAAGAGTTTAATTTTTGGACCAATGCAATGCCTCCTTGCTTGAGGAGCCACACTCCAGTGTGAACCATATGGCCAGGGAACAGAAGCTATGTAGGATACTCTGCTAGTGTGAATTTCTTCTCAGAAGGCACACCATTACTCTTCAAAGGTGATAGAGCAGCCCTCTGTAACTGTTTAGCCAGGAAGTGAAGAGATTTTTTCTAAGATTTCTAGATGAAATCTTAATAGATTGAGGGTATTCGGAAATGGGATCTGACAAGTTCACTCTTACATGTAAAGCCTCAGCATCTGATGAGAGTGATGGAGATTCCTAGCATCAATGGGAGATCCATAACAAAAATGGTGTGAGAACCAAGAAGGAATGAACGAATGAGCAGGGAGAGTCAGAAAGAGGAAAAAATGACTCAGCAGAAGAACAAAAACGAGAGACTGAGTTTGCAATTCTTTCTTCTTCGGTGGCATTTGATTTCACCTTCCTCCCCCCTCCCTGTGTCAGAAATTATCAGTCAATTTCAGTAACATAGGAATAGAAAAAAGAAAATTTCTTAGAAGGCACTTAACACAGAGATACACCCAGAACTATCAGTAGGCACTCTGCTCCACAAGCACACATCAGGACCAAAGGGTTTTTTTGACTGACTGATTTATTCGTGGTTTCAAAATGAATTTCTAATAAAATAAAATGCTCAAAATGGTCAAAATGTGCAACATGTGCAGTCCTATGTGGGGTCCCCTCTGCCACTGAATGAGTGCAGGAGCAGGCCAGTGTAGAAAGAGGGAGAGGATAGTAGGCAGCAGGGAAGAAAACACGAGCCAGAACAACTAGGAGAGCTGGTTTCCAGCCATCTTGCCCATTTAAAAGCCCCACCAGGAAAGGCCAAGAGAGAAGGCAAGAAGGAGAGGCAAAGGGCAGGAGAAAGAAGTGAAAGAAACAGGCAATAGCTGCTGGTTTCAATAGCTCCAAAGCTTTTGTGCTGCCTGCTACCTTACTGCATCAGGGACTCTCAGCTTGCCCTGGTGTGCAACTTCCAGCCTCTCAGCAGGTACAAAGCTCCCATGGCATCCTGCTGTGTGCATAGTGCCCCTACACCCTCTTGTAAAGTCTGCATGGTGCCCATCTCTCTGCAGCATGGCACACAGAGTCTCATCCTCCCATGCAGACTGGGCCTGGCATCCCTGCTTCCATCAACACTTAGTCTGCTGGATCTGTTCTTCCTGCTTCTTCTCCAACTCCTCCTTCCTTGGCACACTGACTGCAGCTGTCCCTTCCAGCGCTGGGAAGGCAGGGGATTGTACCTGAAAGGGAGAAAGGGGGCAACATCAGCCATGGGAGGGATGTAGACTGGCTCTAGTCAGGGCTTCCACCCTGACACAGAAGACAATCACACTACCAAAACCCACAAGGTTCCCATTCCCTCCTAGAGCCAGGGAAGGAATCCATTCTTGCTTTCTGGCACATGTGGCTTCCTCTGGGGAAGGCTGGCCTGTTGCTACACTCTCTGATGTGTAATGGGCATTGGGAGTATTAAAGAGAGGCCACTTTTAAGAGAGGTCAAAGAAAAATCTAGGCAATGGTTGGGCCATTAGTTGGGTTAAATGGTATCCAAGGTTTTGATATATCTTTTCAGAGAAAGAATAAATCAACCATGAAGGTAAATGGGAAATAAGAAACAGTTAAAGCAACTACCTTGCTGCTTTGTTTTAGCAAGAGGATTTCAAGACAAGGAAAAGGTAGATTTGATGACTCCTGGTGACAATAAAGAATATGGTGTCGCTTGGAAAATTAATACAACTGAAAAGATAAGATTAGTAGAACTGTGTGGTAGTTCTGATCTGGACTAAAAGAAAGGGACTTGGGTAGTGCTGACAAGTTTCTGGCATGCTGTAGAGAAGAGATAAGCACAGGTCTTCGAGGATCAGCTGTGGAACCACTCATAAATAATATAGAAAGTGTCAAGGTGCTAATGAGATTTGTACATGATACAAAGTTGAAGAGCATCATTCGTAAGAAAGAAAATGAAAATGTCACCCAAGAACCAGACATTTTACGGGAATGGAATGGTAAGATAAATGACATTGAATGAAATGCAAGAGTACTAACTGCAAAGGGGTTTGTTCAGGAGATCAGAATAGGAAATCCCATTATGATCAAGGGGTATCTATGAGCTGCCAGTATTAAACCAATGCAAGAAAAACAATAGTAGCCTTAAAAAATGCCAGGCAAATGTTTCCAGCAGAGAGAGAGAGATGTTAAAGCCTTTACACAAGGCACCACAGCTGCACGCTTGCAAAAGATAAGCCCAACAGGAAAACTAGGCAGAGAAGGGTGTAAGAGATAGTTAAGGGATAGAGGGCCAGAACTGTAACTTCTTTTCTTGGCAATGGAAAACTGGGGTGGCATATATAAATGCTTTGAGCGCTTAAATATGCTGGCTGATTTCGATCCCTTTCCTGCTAACTGAGAGTTCACAGTTATATCAGGGTTTCTCTCTGAGTCCTTAGGTCTTAAAGAGCTGTTGTGATTATTTTATCCAACTGCCAGCCTTTATAGTCTTAGAATTACTCAGGGATCTTCAGGACCCCAGATTATCCTTCAGTTTATCCTTTACAATCAATGCTGATTAAGGACTGAATGACAAAGAACCTGCAACAAATCCTGCTGCTGTTAACCCCAATGTTAAAAGCCCCATCTTGCTTCTATCCAGATGTTGCTTATTTCAACTTCCACCCACTAGATTTTGCTGAGAATTTGAATTACTGCTCTCCCGTCTCTCATCTTCATCTCATGGCAGGTTCAACAGATGGAACTCTCTCGCTAGGGCAAGGTTCTCTAGACTTTCGATCATCCTGGATCCAGTAACCTGGTAACTGTAGTGGTCAGCTGGAACCCTGCCCTGGACAGCATCACCCTGAGTAAAATAGGAATGTTCAGTTTGGGCCCTTCTCAAGAAACTAAGTAAAAGACATCTGCAGTAAGATGCCAGAAGCAGCCAACGTAAGTGTGAAGACTGAGTCAGCAACAACAGATGCTGATGGAAGTCACTGTCTTGGGGCTGGTGGGTAAACACTGATACCTGTCCTTGCAGAGCTGCAAGAGATGTTTTGAAGTGTGGGGAAAGATGCGCTCACTGCTTCCCTCAGAAATTTACCCAGAGGACTAAGAAGGAGGTTTTCATAATCTTTTGTAGAGACAACTGCAAAGATGAGTGAGGATGCTGGATCAGCTAGATAGAAAGAGAGAGGACACCCACTTCTCCTCTCCCTCCATCTATTAGAATTGCAAAAGGATGCAGCCTTGGTCTGCTTTGAGGACACCTGTTTCCTCCTGCCACTGCCCAGCTAGTATTCATTTCAGAGCCCAGGAAGCACCCAAGTAGAGACAGTGAAAAAGGCAGCGGGATGAGTTTTCTTCTGTGCAAAATTAAGTTTCCTTGAGAAACCCCTAAAAGACAGTCTTGAAGGAGAAAGTTGCCAGGGAATTCAGATAAGCAGTAATGTGGCTGCCCGCTTGTTCTAGCATTCCCTTTTCTGGGTTGGAGACACCGATCACAACCCCACACCATATAATGTACCAGCTTTTCCTTCTTCTTGTGCTACCTGGCCACAAAATGGCAGTCTCTTAATAGACACATGTTATAGGAGATGAAAGCAAGGTCCAGAGACTGGGCCATGGAAATAATTAAGATATCAAGCATTCGAACTATTCTTTCCTCAGGAAACAGTTCATATTCCAATATGGTGCTTAGGAAATGGGGTGTTTTCTGTTGCTGTTGTTGGACAACAATATTCTATTACTTCATTGATGATGAGGTATTTTTCTGCATGGAGACTGACCAAAACTCAAGATTTTCTTAGAGCCTTTTTTTTTTTTTTTGCAAAGGAACTCATCTTGTCAAAATCCATGCTTTTAAGCATTCCTACTTTTGATACCTCAACCTTTTCAGAATGGTCTTGAATATTTAGGATTTGAAATTCTATTGTCTTCTGTGATGTATAAATTTAGAGGCACAAGTTTATAAATGCCTTTTCTTGATGGCAAACTGAGCATGCCACAACAAATCACTTGAGTTAGGTGGAAAAGGTCAGGTTCTAGAAAAGCTAGGTGGCAAAGATGGATGCATGAATGAATTCTAGGAAATACAACACAACACTCCTGGAATTGACTAGTCCAAACTCTTTGTAGAAATGCTGAAGCTTTAAATGGAACAATGTCTCTCAGGGCAGGTAGTGGGGAAGCTAGCAAAAAAATCTCTGCTTACAGGTGAGATCCTGAAAACAGATCTGTCTCAGAGGGAGAGGTCTAGTAACAAGAGTTTCTGGCGCAAACAGTGCTTTGAACAGTCTTGGGCCTTCTTATGGAGCAGGACTACATATTATACCAAAGAGGCCAGATAAAGTTGAAGAGAGAGGACATCTACAAAAGCTTGGAAATAACCTCTCATCTTTAAGCATGGCTTGATTTCTGTAAGGATAAATGAAGAAGTCTCCAGGACTGGAGACTGTGATGTGATTGTTCCCTAAGTGTTCTTATCCCTCCTCTGAAACCTCTAATGTGCTTCCCGACACCAGTCAAACCCTGGGGCTTAGCCAGACCTGCCCATGCCCGGAATGAGACTTTGACATCATATGCATGACACCCTCAGTAGGATGCCTGGGCCCTTTGCTTCCCAGGTTTCCCCACTCATCCCCCTGCTGCCATGTCCCCAAGACATTACATAGCTGAATCTAGAAGAACCCAGGAGGGGGTCAAATAAGGGGTGATATACAGGAAAGCTGATAGATGTGGGGTGATGCACACTTACCCTTTTCTGTAGGGCCAGAGCCAGAACACAGACTATAAGCAGGAGGAAGAGGGTGATTGTGAGTCCAAAAGTAACCTGCCCACTGAAAATGGTGGGAGGGCTGGAGACCTGGGCACCTGTGAGGAGGAACGACAGTTAGAAAGGAGGGGACGGGAGGGCTGAGTTCGTACTGGAACAAGACTGGCATTGCACAGAGGCAAACTAGAAAAGGATTCAGGGAAGTGAGAGGAGCAAAAGGAGAAAATGATGACTGTTAATCCAGGATGGTGATAAGAGTGATCTATATGGTCAAAATGAGATGGATGGAATAAGACTGAGAGATGAGAGGACACCAGGTAATTAAACAGGGTAAGAAGAAGGAATGGGGTACAGGAGAGACAGTACCCATGATGTGCAGTCCATATTCCACTGCTCCTAGTCTTCCTTCTGGGCCATGTACACTGCATTCCCATGTGCCCATATCCTTCTGTGATACTCGGGGTATTTCCAAGGTAGGGCCTGTTGGTGATCTGTGGCCCTCTGAGTTATGGGAGTTGGCCATAAGCAGCTTGTTGTTAGTGGAAGATGAGGTGAGGTGCTTCCACCGGAAGCGTTCATGTCCCTGGGGGTGTGTGACACTACATATGAGGAACAAGCGAGATCCCTCAGAGACTGGTCCTTGGATGTTTGGGGTGACTGCAACAAAAGAAAAAAGAAAACTAACTTCAAGAAAAACAATAGGCTGTTCTACATCTCCTCCTCCTCCCTCCTTTTTCTATGGCACTCCCCCTGCATTACATCCTCTACTTTATTTCTTTTTCTTCCTCAGTCCTCAAAAAGAATAATCAAGTTAGCCAGGAAAAAAACTCCCTTCAAGAGAATCCAGTGCAAAGCAATGCCCTGAGTAGGGACCTAGTTTTCTGAGTTGTGGTGGGAAACTATGAAGAAGAGCAACCTACAGTCACTGGGCTGATGTGCAGGGAGGTTTAACTGCAAATAGCAAAGGACCCCAGAGAAATCAAGCACCTTCATGTCTCTCTTCTCACCTTTA